AGAAGAAGAAGAAGAAGAAGAAAGAAGAAGAAGAAGAGGAAGAGGAAGAGGAAGAAGAGGAGGAAGAGGAAGAAGGAAAGAGAGAGAAACCACCGCTGCCGTGTTGTTTCAGTGGCAACAGTGGCAGAGGGAAAGAAGGCGAGGGGAAAGGGAGGGAGAATGGAGAGGAGAGAGAAATTGCCGATGACTAATGGTGACTTACCTCGCCGGAGTGTGGTTCTTCGGCCGTTGGAGGACGGGGTACCAGGAGAAGAAGAAGGAAAGAGAGAGAAACCACCGCTGCCGTGTTGTTTCAGTGGCAACARTGGCAGAGGGAAAGAAGACGAGGGAGGAAGGGAGGGAGAATGGAGAGGAGAGAGACGAAACTCTCTATCATATCATGGTTGTTTGTCCATTTGCTCAGGCAGTTTGGCTGCAAGGAAACATACGATTTAATCCTCAGATATATCCAGAAGGAACTTTTGAAGAAACAATAAACAGATGGCAAGATAATTTGGCAGTGGACAAAAAAAAACTAAATTCGGTATGCTGAAGAAATGGATTATATTTGCGAAATTTACATGGGAGGAATGCAGCAATTACATTTTCAGAGGGGTACAACCTGATCCAACTCGTGTGCAGCATTGGAGCCTTCAATTCTTACAAGTAATGAGGAGGTGGTGCAGATAGGTAAAATCAGTGCAGGTGAAAGTATGCAATTCATCTAAATATCTGTGAAAATGATATTTTCTCTATGCTTACTGATGGATCATTTATTACTAAAGATGAGGCAGCCGTTCGTTATGTTATATTTTCTCCTACTGATGTCTTTGTTGTAGCAGTAGGAACAAACTACAAGGTTCAGACTGCTGTCCACACTGAACGGTGGGCTATTATCTATATGTTAAGGCATCTCTTGATCTTGGAATCAGCAAAGTTGGAGTTTATATGGATGCTCAAGCAGCTCAACATATTGTAAATAGTTTAACAAAGATGAATAGCCGGTTAAACTGGGATGACCAAGGTCCATTTGATGGAGTTAGTTCAGTCTTTTGCTTCTGTAAAGTAATATATGTATCAAGAGTAAAGAATCAAGTAGTTCATGCAATAGCTAACAGAGCTAGAACAGTCAAGGGAGATTTGAACCTCCAGAATGGATGAGAAGTCTTTTTTGCACTCTTCCAATTTAGGAGATACAATGTAGCTATTTTATAACTGAATGAAGTTCTTTGGTTGTTTGTGTGCCAAAAAAGAAAAAAGAAACATCCATATTCTTCATTTCAATATATCCAAAATAAGTTGAGTAAAGCATAAATGGCAAAATTGATCAAGGACAAAATTCAAATATTAACCATTGGCAAACAAATGACTAGAAAATGTATAAGCATGTAAAATATGGATGCAGAAGATTTTTTTTTCATCATATCACACTCATGGGATGAATTTCAGCAAGGGTGGCTGAAGCAATAAATTCATCTCTTCAAGAGATCCTGGTGACACATAGAAATGTATTTCATGATGATATATGGCAATTCCATTTCCACATTAGATTTGAGATGTCTGACTGAAAATGATTTGTGAACTAGGCTTAGGCCAAAAATGTTTTAGAAGGCATGGGAGGCATATGCCCCAAAAATGCCCTGAAATGCATGCCAGAGGTGTTGAGGCCTCTGAGGCATATGCCTCATACAAAAAGTAAGAAAATAATAAAAAGGAAAGGAAAGGGAAGGAAAGGGAAAGAAAAAGAAAGAAAGAAACAAAAGGAAAGGGGAGGGAAGACATCATAGTTTTTAAAGGCTTAAGCCTTGAGGCGAGGTACAAGGCTTAAGCCTTTGTCAGGATGAGGAGTAAGCCTCGAGCCTCAAGGCGTGAGGTGTAAAAAGGCGTAAGCCTCAAGTATCAATGATTATTTAGTGATTTAATGTAAAAAATATATATTTGATGCATTTTTTAGTTCAAAATATATGGAAGAAGCACTTCAATAATTATGAGTAAAAAAAAAATTTAAAAGAAAAATCAATTGGGGAAATCAACTTCTATTAGTTTCTCTTAGTGTTATAAGATAGTTCAATGCAAAATGGGCCAATCAAGTTCTTAGTTTCTCTTGGATATATCAAGTTGTTTTTCTTATTATTCTAATTCTAATATCATTCAAGGTTTGTTATTTTTTTTCATTTCTTTTCCTAATGGATTTATTTTCTTTTTATTGATTTTTTTTTTGTATAAACCAAATTAACTAAGTTATTTTCTTTCTTCTGAACTATTGAATGGCCATGAATTTAATATCCAATCATATGGATGATTCTTCGTATGTTTCCTTTCTTCCAATTTGGTCATTTTAATTATTTTAGAACTTTGCATTTTAAACATGAAATGTAAAATGTTTATAATTGTTAGTTGATTCATTATTATTTTATTTAATGCATAACGACTGAAACTTCTTGCTTATAAACTTTTAGTTTATGGATATTTATATCTTCTATCATTCTAACTTAGTATATTATATGGAATTTTTATTGATTTATAAACTTTAATTAATTTTATTCTTAAGATTTGATTTTTACACCTCGCAATGCCTTGAGGCTTATGCCTCACCTTTTTGGGCCATTACGCCTCAATTACGCATTTAGCCTTTTAAAACCTTGGAACTTGGAAGACATATTTAATAAAGAAAAGGGACCCCCCTCTCCCCCTTCCCCCCAAACTTGAGTGTTATGCATCTTCATTCTTCTTAATACAAGTTAGTAAAAAGGAAATGAGAAAAACAAAATGAACCTTCTCCTCCTCTCAAGKAGGCTTACACCTCTTGTGTTATGAACTACACCTTCATGCTTCCAAGGTGGTGGAACACCTTGCGTCACCCCTCTATGTTTTAAAACGTTGGGCCAAAAATGACTGTTTGGAATTAGTTTTTATATTAGACATTGGTTGGTTTCTGGAAATTAGCAAGGAAAAGATCATGGCTCAAGAGATTMAAGTCTTGTAATTATTCTTGGGCCTTTGAACTAGCTTGAAATTTTATTTGTATATGTAGAGGACACTGATGTGGGCCCCACAGCTATGGTCCCCATTGTGTTTGTAGGACAGTATGTGTAATTATTTGTTTCAGTCATGGTAGTGTCAGTTGGTGGTCAGTTTGTTATTTATTTCAGATTTTTATTTGTTTTATTTGTCATGCAAGTACTAAGGGCAGATCTGTCATTTTCCCTATGTACTAAACATAACCTATAAATACTAAGAGAGTGGTGGCGACAAATCATTCTGAATCTGTCCCTTCTTTCAACCTTTGTTTCTCCAGTTCTTCTCCTCTCTTTTCTTCCTTTCTATTTCTTTTCTTCTACTTTTCCTAATTTGAAATCTATTAGGGTTCAAGGCTGATTGTAGTCTTGATCGTCTACTTGGTATCAGAGCCTATCTATCTAAGGTTTCTCATGTGAGTCTAGTCCAGCCGACCACATGAGAATTATCTAGGGCTGGAAGTTTATGAAGAAGTATACGTTGGCTGATTCTTGGAGGTTACCAGAAGAGGTTCACAGCTGTTGAAGACTTGCCACGACTTGCAGAGTGTTGGTAATCAGGAAGAATCAGAGAAGGCTAGGGTTCAGGCAACCTTGGAATGTAACGAACAACATTCTTTGGGTAAGTCTTATTTATTTTCTAGAGACTGCTATCAGTCAAGATAGGTTGGACCTATCTAGAAGGAGCGGCCGAACTGTTTTAGGGTTTTCTCTCTGTTCTAGGGTTTGACATTAACCTTGCGGCAAACCTTTCTGTTGAGCTGAACTCTTGTTATCCTCTTGGAAAGTGATTGTTTTAGGGTTTTCTCCCAGAGGTGATCAGTTTTAGGGTTCCATCTCGTTCTTCTTGAGTTCCTAATGACCGAAGCAAGGTCCAAAGAATGGACAGTTGGCACCATAAAGGGTGCAACACAGTATCTTTATTGGCCGTTGTTGTCTCTTTTTTCAAATTGGCCCATTGTGGCTCACTTCATACTGGCTTAAGAAGCCAGCCCATCGAGACATTTGGGTTGACCCATAAAGGTCTCCATTAAAGTCTTTATTGGCCTGTTGTGGCCCATTTCGTATTGACTTGAAAAGCCAATCCATCAAGGCATTTTGATTGACCCATTGAGGTATTCTCTCTCTTTTTTTTTATTCTCCAACACTAGAACAAAATTACTGTCAAAATTTCCATCAATGCAACATAATCAAACAAAGGTCTAAGCACCCAAAAAAAACATTGTCTAATAAGGCGGACATTGTATTTGTCTCAACAAAAACGATAACATAAAAATTTTGGTATTAAGTTAATCATCAATATCCAGAACATATAAAGATGGAACACCCAAGTATTGGTTGCCCTAGTGTAAATCTGCTGACTTGCGTGGGCAGATACCATCCTAATAAGACCTCTTGCCATCAATTCCCTGATAGCCTTCCGTGCAAGTGATCCATTGATCCTCAATCTGTCCGACAGAATGGAAGGGGTGATGAGCTTGTATTTGGGTGCTTCGGAGAGAAGTTTGTCATAGGTGGCCTGATCAAACAACACCATATTGTTCACCTTCTCCTTCTGCTTTCCCTTGCTCCACTTCTTCTTCTTCTTCTGTTTACCGCCTCCAAATTTAGCGGGCTTAGAAGATGGAGGGGGAGCCTTTTCCTTCTTTGGCACCATCCGATTTGAAGTTGTGAAGAGTTTCTGAAGAGGAACAGAGCCCACTGCTTGTTAATTGGTTATACTTGCGTGGTTAATTGGTGACAAACATTCTTGGAAAAATGTTTGCAATTATGACAGTGGAAAATGGTTTTCCTGAACTCCAGAAAGATTAGGAAATAATTGACAATTCAGATTATTAAACCATCTAATTGTGCTGAACTGCTGGTTTGAGGTTCAGGAAATGTCTAAATGTGGCACATCCAGTTGTATGCTGTTTTCTGAGACTATAAACTTGTAAAGTTAGCAATCAAGTTTAAAGGCACATTATCCAGAGTATGCACATCCCCTCTGCAGTGTGGACATGTTGAAACAAGATGGGTAGAATACTTCATCTGGGAAGAGACACCTGTCTCTGGTTTTTAAAGGGATCCCGTCTCATCCGGCCTAGACTATTCTGCGCTTCCGTGACCAAGAACAATGGCACAAGCAGCAACAGCAGCATCAATAGCAACAACAGTTCAATAAGAGATTGTGATGCATATCGTGAATTGGAAAAACTCGATTTCATGACTGCTGCTAAGATTCTTTTCACCACTCCTCCTAAGAAGAAGAAATTTGGGTAATTAACCCTTTGACATGACCTCTCTTATTTTATTTCTTTTCAACCTTTCTCTTTTAGCTTTCTATTTTGCTTAATTTAGTTCTTCATTTTATTAGGGTTTATAGTTTGTTCAGATCAAATAAATGAGTAAAAGTTACAAAGATCCAAAGAGCGGGTTCTGGGGGACAAGGCTGAGAGAAAGGAATATGGAAATTATTCAGTCATAGAAAATATTACTGTAGAAATTTAGGTTTAAGTGATCAAGAAAGCCGATTCAATCTTTACCAACTAGTAAGTATAGGACTTTCCTTGATCATGGTAATTCAACCAGGTAAAAGGTACATCAATTCTGGCATGAACAGTAGCTGCATTTTAATGTCGACTATAGAAAAGGAAGTTCCAGTTTGGGATGTTATAATATCCTGGTTTCTATGAAAGGCCTGGATTTGATTGATAAAATTATTAGATGTTTTGATAGAGTTATAAACATGATCAAATAATTCACAATTGGTGTTCTTGACTTGGGCAGCCATGTTCTATGCTTTTTTTTTTTTTTTTGATAAATTGTTCTATGCTTAAGTTTCTTTGATAAATTTACTCACCATATAGCTTTAAAGGAGTGGAAAGATGTATTTCAGTATTTGATGTGGAAGAGACACAATATAATGTGTTGATAAAATTTTCCATTGGGTAATGGCCTTTATAAATGTCAGAATAAAATATGTTAATCTAGTAAATTAATCACTTTGTTACGTGATACAGTCTTTACCCATCCTACACAATTTACATTTTAAACATTCTTTGTTTATGTTTTTATGTATTTGAGTGTTTCTTTTAGCTCTTGGTTTACATTTTGTATATACCTTTTCCATATATTACAAGGATTAGGAAGTTGTGGGGCGTGGAACAGGCAGAATAAAACATGTTAATAACAAATACATACTAACATGCTACACCTGTGAGATGCACCAATTTACAAAGGGTAATAGAGCTTGGGTTGCATTGTTTTCAAAGCGCCCAGGTGATGGTAGGCGATAGGGGGGCACCTAGTTGACTAGTTAATGACTTTTTTATAGTAAAAGACATAAATTGTAGGGTAACTCCCTAGGTCTCATAGTAATCAGCAGAAATATTTAACTAATAATTACCATAATGCTTATCAAATAAGTATAGATCTCATATCAAAACATAGAAAGTCGCATAATTTTGAGAAGAAAAAGAAGAAAGAAAAGAAAACCTAGAAAAAATAAGAATGCAACTAGGAAAATGGTTGTGGAGATTGCCAAATGATAGGGACAAACTGTGGGCAAAGGTAATCATTAGCATTCATGGACTTCTGACGAAAGGCTGGGATTTTGGAGTGCAGAATAGGGCAACAAGAGCTTTTCCTTGGAAATCCATTCATGACATTCTTTTATTTTTTCTGCCTCTTATCAGGTATAATCTTGGCATTGGGAACTATGTTAAATTTTGGGAACATGTTTGGTTGGGTAATTCACCTTTGAAGGAACAATTTCCATCCTTATTTGCCTTGTCAAACCGTATGGTGAACACATTTCCTCTTTCTTGACTCATTCCAGCTCTAGGTCTAGACTTGATTAAGACTTGGGTTTTAGAAGAGGCCTTCGTGAATTGCTGAAACTTCTTTCTTCTTATTTCTCTTTCTCTCTTTTCTTCTTTTCTTGCATTATCTGAATTACTGTAGGTGTAATTTTCAACTTGGTATTAGAGCGGGTTCTCACTTTCGACTTTTTTTCTCCTTTCTTTGCCCATACATAGTGTGTGTGGAGAACTGATCAGTTGATTAATCAGCTACTTATGCAGCCCAGTTAGAAAGGTTTTTGGAGAGTTTTGTGGAGGCTTTTCATCCTTAGTTGAAGCCTAGGCTAGGTTCTTGGAGATTTTTCTCGAAAACCCTAGATAACTAGAGAAACCTTGTTACAGGTTGTAGAGACAGTTTGAACCAGGCGCTTGGGGATTAGAGGTAAGCCTTTTGATTTCTATTAGCGGCGGTTTTGGTTGGATTGAATCCTGGAACCTCTGGAAGGGGTGGTTGAAGTTTCTCTCTTTCTCTCCATCTTGCAGTACCCTATGAAACCCTAATTTTGAGGGGTTGAAAGGTTATTCTTTGCTTAGAACAGTAATTCTAGCCTAGTAAATCCCTAATTTGATTTTCATTTGCATCCATTTACTCAATGGAGCAAATTGGAGGAGAAGACCAAATATTCGACATATTCTGGGTTTGGACATGGGGGGTCAGTGGAGAATCCTTTTGGGGCTATGACTACTAGGGGTGTTCAAATTCGGTTGATAAACCGAAAATCGAACTGAACCAAACCGAATAAGCTAATTCAATTTGGTTAATTCGGCTATGATTCGGTTTAGTTTTTATTTTCTAAAAAAATCTGTTTTTGGTTTTGGTTTGGTTTGACTAAAATTTTCAATTGAACCAAACCGAAAACCGAATTAATGCTGTTATTTAGTTAAGTATATTAAACATTAATGTTTTATTTAATACTTTATGCTAATTAATTATTATAATTCCCAATGAACAATTAATAATAGTTAATTAAAGCCTAGACTCATTATTAATTGCTTGTTCGTCATTAATTGTTCATTAATCATTAATTATTTTTGAAAATGGCCAATTTGCCAATTCCCCATTGGCATAGGGCTTTTGGCCTATTGTAGCTTTTAATTAATAATAGCTAATTAATTAAAACCATTGGGCTTTGGGGTCATTTTAATTTTTAATTAATAATAGTTAATAGTTAATTAATTAAAACCATTGGGTTTTGGGGCCATTTTAACTTTTCATTAATAATACTTATTAAATGCTTGCCATTTATGTGGAACCAGGGTCCAACCGAACCGAAAACCGAACCAAACTCGGTTAGGGCCGGTTCGGTTCGGTTAGAGGAAAAGGTAAAATCGAATAGTTAGGCCCTCAGTTTGAACCGAATCGAATCGACCGATTGTACACCCCTAGTGACTACTGTGAAGCTAGATGGGACCAATTATTTAGCTTGGTCTCAATCTATTAAGATACATGTGTGTAGTAGAGGAAAATGGGGTTATATTACTAGGAGCAAGAAGAAACTGGAGGAGGATGGTCCTACTTATGAAAGGTGGATGCAGGAAAAATA